AAAAAACACAAGGGTCATTTCTTACTAGTTTTCTGCATCACCTCCTATCTGCCTGCACACCCATTACTAACTTGCCAATTCAGCTTCTTGGCACTTGTGGCAGTATATGTAGCAACCAACATGTTCATAGTCTTTGATTTTTTACAATGACCATCCATTGTATTTTACTTTATTAAAATGACATAGTGCCAAAGCTGCAGAGGCATTTTAAAACATATGTTTATAATTACCTCCAACCACAAAAAGATCCAAATCATGCTATATTTTTGTTAAATTTTTGTATGTGCTATAAGGGTCCAATTTCATAATCTTGCATGAAAGTATTCAGTTGTTTCAAGGCCATTTATTAAAGAGACTATCCTTTCTTCATTGATTGTTCTTTCACCTTTGTCAAAGATCAGCTGACTGTGAATGTGTAGATTTATTTCTGAGCTCTCTATTCTGTTCCATTTGTCTATGTCTGTTGTACCAGTACTAAGTTGTTTTGACAAATGTGCCTTTTAAATATGTTTTGAAATTAGGAAGTGTGATGCCTCTTGCTTTATTTTTCTTGTTTAAGATTACTTTGGCTATTTGGGGCCTTTCTGATTCCTTGTGAATTTTAAGATTATTTTTTATGTTTGTAAAAAGAATACCACTAGGATTTTGATAGGGATTAAAGTAAATCTGTGATAACTTTGAATGGTATGGACATTTTAACAATATTAGTTCTTCAAATCAATAAACATGGAGCATCTTTGCATTTATCTGTGGCTTCTTTAATTTTGTACATAATTGTTTTATAATTTTTAGTGTACGAATCTTTCACTTCTTTGATTAAGTTTATTCCTAAGTGTATTTTGCTGTTGTAAATGGTATTGTTTTGTTAATTTTTTCCTCAGATAGTTCATTACTATTGTATGGAAACTACTGATTTTTGTATTTTGATGATATCTTTGCATGAATTAAAGATTTACACTTAAGAGGTGAAATCATAAAACTACTAGAGGAAAACATAGGAAGAAACATTCTTGACACTGGTCTTGACAATGATTAAACATAACATCAAATGCTAAGACAACAAAAGCAAAGAAAAAAAATAGACCGGTGATACTACATCAAAATAAAAAGCTTCAGCACAGCAAAGGAAACAATCAACAAAGTAAAAAGACAACCTATAAAATGGAATAAAATATGTGCAAACCAATATTTGATAAGGTAACGATATCCAAAATATATAAGGAACTCAAAAACTCAATAGCAAGAAACAAATAAAAACTCAA